GGGGGTAAAGCCGGCCGGGGCGTGATGCTGACCACTCACCCCCATCTAGTGCCGAGGTCAAGGAAGAGAGGAGCTATACCTCCACTCACCCCAAACGCCTACATGGCGTATAGTGGGACAAACTTTACTTTACTTTTACTGAAAGGGCTATAATAAATGCAGAAAATATGGTCATTTCGCTGTCGTATTCATACTTCGAGAGATCATCATTAGAAATCAGCATCATTACGTCACAAAATTTGACCACGCTGTCTTTAATGAGACAATTGCCAACAGCGAAGCGCTGCTTGTTGTCAGATGTCATTTAAGTGTTTCGTGAACAAGGAAACAACGTGCGTCTAACTTAAATGACAAAAGTAATGTGGCATTAAAATTCATGAATAGTAAATTTATTAATTTGAAAGGGAAATTTATGTACTTTTGTACAGTATAACTGGGCCTTATCTGATAACACAAAATATTTGAATTTATTTTCAGAATATTTCTTGCAACATCCTGCAAGTTTTTAGGTATTAGCTGCTCAGGTATAAAAAAAAAATAATAATAAAAAAATAAAAAAAAATATCGCCTTTCGTGGAACAAAGTACGACAACAGCACGCCATCGATACCTATAGTGAGCCAGATAAGTCCACTTCACACCTCCCACGGACTACTATTTCTTTAACACCCATTTTAATATCGTACTCGAAATGATCTCTTCTCTTCTGGATTTCTGATCAATATTTGGTATGCATTTCTTATGTCTCCGATGCCCCGCCGACAGACTCCTTTGCCTGTTTGCGCCTTCCCTCGAATTTTAGGTTATGTAACAGGCCCTGTACTCTTAAACAGATAAGAAGTACATATCGATCCTTCTTAGAAGTCGATTTCGAAATATCTCTCATTGTTACTACGTCAGACTGATTTTCGTTGATGTGTTTGTTAAGAGTGCACGGGGAGGGGGTGACGTGGAGGCAATTGAAAGGCATGGACGCTCATGCCTGATTCTTCCGATAATTATGTCTGACGCTTCGACAACACCCCCTCCCCCCCCGTCTTCCGCACACTCAGCGTTGACGTATAGGCTGTCTTAGTACCGAATGATCTGTGAATTTGTTCACACTCCCCTAGCAATGCATCCTTCCTTTGCTG